GGCGTTGCGGGCGTAGCGATGGGGCTGCGGCTGCAGGCCGGTGAGAGAGCTGCCGCGCGGTGCCACCGCTCTCGGCGGCGGTTCTCCCCTCCATCCCTCTCCTCCAGCCCGGCCGCCTCCTGCCCCTCTGCCCGCCCCAGCGCTCCCCGGGTGCTGCAGCAGATCGATTCCCGCGCCCAGGAGGAGATTAGGTGATGAGGAAGCCTGTTCGCTCCCCGGGGTTAGAGGAAAACCTCTTGGCGGGGCTGCGGAGGCACCGGAGTCTCGGCAGAGCCGTAGCGAAGCGTTGCGGCTGGCCGAAAGCACCGCGTTACTCGCCCCGCAGATGAGTTTGCTCTGCTGGGAGCGTGGCCGGTGATGCTCGGTTTTGTGTCTCAGACGGGATCTACTTTAGTAAACTTCCTTATTCATAGCAGTGTTTCAACATAAGAGTGTGCAAAATACTTTCTAAAACCCTTCTGAGATTTTTCTCCCATAGTGGTCATAAGCGGTCCATGCCATTGGTCGGCAGGACTGCTCGAGGAACCTCATGCTGAAGCCAGAAAGGGGGAAAAAATAAAGAGTGATCAGTGTAGAGCAGAAGTTGTTTATCATAAGTGAAATTGGGAAATCAGCAGAGGATACCTGCAGGCGAGTGGGGTCAGCAGACAGAGGGGTCGCAGGCAGAGAAGCAGCAGGACGGGTGAGCGGTGGCTGCGCCCCATGCACGTGTCCTTCTTCTCGTTACTCCTTCTGCAGCCGGACCGTGGTGGAGCTGACGGTCCACCATCGGCACGGGGGAGCAGCGCGGCCCCACCGCCGGCCCTCGGCCGGGGGGTGTCTGCCCTGTCGGAGCAGTTTCTGAGCTTATTTATTCCAATACATTAAAACCTTTTGGTGCCTCCCAAATGGAAAGGGTTTAACTTCATTGTTCTCACCTATGCCTTTTCACTTAAAAAAGGGCTTTCATTTCCTGCAGGTATAAAGGTGTGACTTGCTAAGTAATTCCTCTGGTGGTAAAAAGCTTGTATCTAAAATATAAATTTGGTCCTTAAAAAAAGGCAAGCGGAATGACTGCTTGATTGTGGCTGATGTTTCCAAAGTGCCTGGCCACGCTGCTGGGGATGCAGCCCGGGGTGCCGGGGGCTCGCTGGGCTGCCAGCGCACAGTGCCGCTCATGGGGAGCTTCTCACCCACCACCACCCCCAAGTCCTTCTCCTCAGGGCTGCTCTCC